GGTGTCACTGGGATGGGGACATCGAGGTGGAGCCGCCACCACGGAGCTCCTCAGACACCAAACTGGGAGGTCCTGGAGGTGCCACCACCAGGGCTGATGGATCCCAAGGGTGTCACCACCAGGGCTGACAGGTCCCAGGGGTGTCACCACTGGTGGTGACAGGTGACATGTCCCTTGCTTGTCCCTGTCCCCAGAATGGTGACACCAAGGTGGAGCCACCACCATGGACCTTCTCAGGCCCCAAACTGGGAGGTCCTGGAGGTGCCACCACCAGGGCTGATGGATCTCAAGGGTGTCACCACTGGTGGTGACGTGTCCCCCGCTTGTCCCCGTCCCCAGGACGGTGACACCAAGGTGGAGTACCGCGCCTGGAACCCGTTCCGCTCCAAGCTGGCGGCCGCCATCCTGGGTGGCATCGACCAGATCCACATCTGCCCGGGCGCCAAGGTCCTCTACCTGGGCGCCGCGTCGGGGACAACCGTGTCCCACGTCTCCGACATCGTGGGGCCGGTGAGGACCAGGGGACCCGCGGGGCGGCACCTCCTTGGGGACACAATGGGGGTGCTAGGAGCCCCTTGGGGACATCCTTGTGGTGTCCCCAAGGTTGAGGAGATGAAGGGATGGGTTTGTAACGCACCTGGGGACCTGGCAGTGGAGGTGTCGTCTCCTTGGGGACATCTTTGTCATGTCCCCATGACCCAGGACGCCAGGGTGACGTCCCCAAGGACATGAGGAGGGTGCTAGGAGCCCCTTGGGGACATCTTTGTGGTGTCCCCAAGGTCGAGAACATAAAGGGATGGGTTTGCACCCACCTGGGGACATCCCCGAGATGTCCCCAATGCAAGGGGACCTGGCAATGGGGGTGTCGTCTCCTTGGGGACATCTTTGTCATGTCCCTGGGGACATCACCCTGGTGTCCTGGGTCATGGGGACACGAGGAGGGTGCTAGGAGCCCCTTGGGGACATCTTTGTGGTGTCCCCAACGTCGAGGAGATGAAGGGATGGGTTTGTACCCCGGGGGAGGACCCGGCAATGGGGATGTCCTGCCCTTGGGGACATCACCGTGGTGGCCCTGGGGGTGCCCCCAGCCATGGGGACCCCCGCGATGTCCCCTTGTCCCCACCAGGAGGGCCTGGTTTACGCCGTGGAGTTCTCGCACCGCTCCGGCCGCGACCTCCTCAACGTGGCCAAGAAGAGGACGAACGTGATCCCGGTCATCGAGGACGCGCGGCACCCGCACAAGTACCGCATGCTCATCGGTGAGGAGGGACACGCGGGGACAGCCCGGGGCGGCTGCGAGGGGGTCCTCTTTGGAGGGCTTCGGCCTTTTGGAGGCCTCCTGG